AGAAGGATACCGAAGAGGAAAGAGCAAAGAACCCCAGAGCAGGTGCATTTCGATCGACCGAAGTGGAGCTTCGGTCAGCCGAAGCCGACCTTCAAGAACAGGTCGACCGAAACCCTCCATCGGTCGACCGAAGGTAAAGTACTGAGAGCATGAGGATGGTTCGGTCGACCGAACCCTATTTCGGTCGACTGAAATAAGAGATCCTGAGGGTTAGTAAGAGGGGTTCGGTCGACCGATGCACCATTTCGGTTGACCGAAGTGGCTTCTTCGAGCCCTGTATCCTGATACTGACCTGCTATGCTTAGAAATGAACTAATATGGCTGAGGGGACTTTTAAAACAACCCAAACCCAGACAAAACCATCAAATATGAGACATTCAACAAACATAAACTAATAAGCCATCAATTAATCATCTTACAACATCACTTGCTACAACTTCATGGAGATATTCACAATGAGTACATTAGTTCCTTTTACATCAAATAAAAGTTAAAGCTTATGCTTGAATTACAAGGCCATGTATGTCAACTTAGTTACAATCCCAAAACAATAAGTATACATAGAATGGCCTATGTACAAAATAGCAAAAATGGTCTTCTAACAACTTTCAAGCTTGCGGTAGATTATCATCCGCCAATTCCTTTCCATGACCTGAAAAATAATAAATATAATAGGGTGAGCAAAAGCTCAGCAGGTGGCACTTAAGATATGTCTCTTGTATCCCTGTGAATTCATACAAAGAATAGAGCAATGGGAAATGGGGTCATATCACGTCGGGAATACACAACATAATAACAAATTCAATACAACCAATGCAATGCAATGAAATGCAATGCATGCCAATGTCACTCCCCATTTTCATTCCAAAACCATCACTTTCAAACGGTTAATATAACCCGCCCTTTGATGACCCTGCAACCACATAAGAGAAGGATTGGCTAGTCTCCCTAACCCTTGGTACCCCCTCGATGTCATTTTGGGCCTAGTTAGCTCAACCACGTTAGAGCAATCTCCCTAATTCCCTCTAGGCTATATTAACCCTACGGCCCTTTGGTACCGCCGCGGCGACCGGGTTTTCACAAAATCAATTCATCAAAAACATTTTCCCCAAAATTCCCATTTCCATTTCAAAACAATTTCCTTCATAAGAACCCAATGATAATGCACATCAGTATGTCCCATGCTTTCAATGTCATAGAATTTAGAGAATTACACTACACAATTAAGCATATTCCATTGTCATCATCTTAAGTAATTTATCAACACATTACACATAACCAAACAACATCTAAGCATACTTTTCACACCAAACAACTCATATACATAATCATGTATTTTCTAAACGACACTTAGAAGATCTTTAAAATAGTTAGCATTCAAACTAAACATGTTTGCAACATTTTTGGAGATATAATTCACCAAGGAACAAGATAACATGAATTAAGAACCCCTACCTCAAGTTTGATGCAAAACCCTTAAAATGGGTCTCCAATTTCGAAATCCAAAGGGAGCACCAAATATGAAATTGTTGCTATTCACGCGTAGAGCTCGCCGTGCTCTTCGTTTTGCCTCAAACGGCACCCAAAATTTCCAAATATTGAGAGAGAAATCAAGATTCAAAGTTTGCTTATGAGAATGGAAAAAAAAAATTTAAGGGAATAAGAAGAGAGAGAGACTCACGGGAGAGAGAAAAATTAAAAACCAAGTGTGGTCTCTAGACCACCAACTAAGTGGGTGGTGGATCCCACCACCATTTTTTTTTTTTTTTTTTTTTTTTGACTTTTCCTTTTTCTTTTACTTTTAATTCTACATCATAACTTTTATATATAATGCACCACCACACAAATACAATATGAATCACACAAATTAAAATACACAAAATGCAAATGAACCTAGCTAAAATCCCGTACGAAAACGTGAAAAGACAGAAATGCCCTCGCGGTGACGAAATTCCAAAAAAATAAAAATTGTTGAAAATTGGAAACATCACAATATATAACTCTGAAATTTTTTAATTTTCACAAAAAAAAATACCAAATTCTGAAATATGTGACTTTTTTAAAAAAAATTTATTTAACAATTGCAAATTAAACTTGCAAGTAAATTATTGGACTTAGGCTAGACCTACCCCCATATTGGATGGTCATTGTCAAACGTCTGTCAAAAATCTTTGAAACCCGACCCTATGCAAAAAAGCCCAATCCAAATAGACTAATCAAAACCCTCAAAAATATCCCCGTCAATCCACAACTTCGACTTCTTGATCATGCCTTGTAGGTTTACATGCTCCGAGTGCAACGGTGTTGATGTACACAATCAGGCACGTGGGTGGAGTGGTCCTTTGGGAGTTTGGCTTTTGGCATCATTTTTTTTCAGAGAAAGCAGGTAAGCATATGTTAATGTGGTTTTAATCTTTTTACTTTTTACTTTTTACTGAGAGATAATATATTTGCTCTTCATATTCCACTCTCAGCTACATACATGAATGAACTAGCAGCTCGGTGGAAATTATTAAATCCAATCCAGCAAAATTTTCTTCGACTATAAAAACATCCTCAGTTTTGATGTCACATGTCATATGATATGTACTATGTAGTACAGTAAAACAGCTTAGGAAAAAAAAAAAATTGGCTGTTTCTGAATTTTTAATTGTTCCATTGATTATTTGATTGATCAAATTGATGTATGACCTGTATATATATATATATATATTTATTTATATGGTGTTTGTGTCCACTGAACCCCAAGTGCTATCTATATGTGCTGTGATTGTGAGCAATTTAATCCATTAATAGCTAAACCAGCATGCTCTACTTCATTGTTTGGATGCACTCATAGTCCAGACTCCTAATGTGCATACTATTTGCCATGACTATCAAGCTCTAGTAATTTAATTTCTTATCTGCTGCATTGATATTGAATTTTATCCAGGATTTTGTTCATTATTACCCATTAAATAAAATAAGAGAACTGATATGCTAACCAAAATAACCCAAGAAAAAGTATTATCCATTTGTAGATGGAGCTTCAATGGCAGCTAGGTCTAGAAGGAAGTTATGAGCATTACCTTCGTGCATAACTTCCATACCAAGGTTAGCACGGTTAATGATATCAGTCCAAGTATTAATTATACGGCCTTGACTATCAACTACAGATTGGTTGAAATTGAAACCATTTATGTTGAAAGCCATAGTGCTGATCCCTAAAGCAGTGAACCGGATACCTACTACAGGCCAAGCAATGGGAAACCGAACGTTTGCCAGTCATTGGATGGCTTCGATCCCACATCAACCATCTAGTGGATGGGAGCGTTCGGTTTCTCATTTGGATGGATTATTTTGATTAGTTAAACATTATTCAGAAGATAATTATGACTCCATTTCCTTCAAAATATATGCTAGTGGATCTTGCTACAGATGTCTCTTTTTGCTAGTGTTAGCTCCCCGGTCTTGTTCCATTAGAAACCTTCTGCTTAACAAAATTCTAGGTTGAATTCATATTAGTTTTCTCTATTACTGCATTTCCTATTCTGGTATTATTTCAGTGCTAAAAAGAATTTATATGTTATTGTTGTCGTCATTTTTATGCCATTTCTTCCTGCTACCTATTCTAAGAAATAATAATCGATTTATAAGAGATGACTATTATACATCACATGTTAACAATAACAATTAGATTGTTAGGACACTCTTCAGGTCTATTATGCACCATGTCTTGAATTTGTTTCGTTTTTGTTGTATTAATTTATGATGCATATCTGTTCTCTAACTTTGGTACAATGATGCCCTTTCTTGTGTTAGGTGTATTTCTTGTCTGCACTAAATTTATCTTATGCTATTCTGCTGACATTATGATATCGGATGCAGCTTGTATGCATAAAAGACATAAGAATTGGCAGATTCAGGCAATGAACTCATTTCTTTGTTGTAAATGGAGCTGAGTTAGTTCCTACATTCTTGGCTGTTTCAGTTGATAACTTGTGTGTTGATTTCTGTATCTCTGACTCGGTTATTTTAAATTTATTGTGCTTCTATTTCTGTTTGAGAATAGTTAGAGTCGGATTTATTTTTATTGTTGCAGGTAGTATTATCGCTTCCTTATTTTATTAGTTTAGGGCTTATTATATTATTATGTAATGTATTGTACTCTTTACGTAACAATCAAATATACATGACTACATTTCTTCTCTCTTCTTCTCTGCGCAATATTCTCATGGTATCAGAGCAGGACCTTCAATCGTATCTGCAATAGACTTGAAGTTCTGTGTTCGACTAGTATTTGCATCGAATGTTGTTAAATTTCGTAGATAGTAGAGTTAGTTTGAATGGGATAGCTTTTTTATGTTGTAGTGAGGACATAGGACCAAATATATGTTGCTGGAGTAATATTTGTGCTATGCCTAATGCTTTTTCATCAAATATCGTCAATTTTTTCTCACATTCTCCCTTTTGTTATTAGTTTTAACCATAAGTCTATACCTCTACTTTTCACTTCTATTTGATCATTCTAATGAAGTATTAAATTACATTATTCTTCAACCAAACCATACAAGAAAAAGATTTGTTTTTTGTCTTTCCTTAAGTTTATTCCATTCTTCTATCTTTCCCACACGTACTGGTTAATCATCTATTCATCTTTGGGAACAGAACATTTGTTGAGAGAGAGTTGGTATTGATTGTCTTTGATACTAAGAATAAGAAGAAAAAAATTCACAATCAAACGAGGAAAGCAACTTTGTTCCTTTTTATTTACCAAAATTAAAAAATTAAAAAACCTTGTTCTCTTTCTATTAGATGCTGACAAAATCTCTTGTTCACTTTTCATTTTCCCCACTCTTTCCTAGAATCTTTCTTGCAAACTCCGCAGTCTTGTCTCCATTCTTTTCCCTTTACCAATAAGAGAAGACCATAGATTATACCTTATATATACACTTCCAGGTTTCTGAGTTCTTATAATCTGAAGAACTAGAACCAATACTGTAGTTGAAACTGCTCTTGGAATGGAAACTCCAGACAATGTTGTGGCTTCATACGAGTCAGCTGTGAAGATAATTTTGCAATGGGATGTTAGCACTGCGAGAGGACAAAAGATGTTTGATGGAGAAGATCACAATGGGATAAATCAGTACTTGCGAGCCGTTGATGAGATCCACCGTTCGATGGAATTGACGACTGTGTTTGATGATGACAAGAGTAAGAGCAAGACCAACAGTGTGCTTGAGAAAGCCATGGCCCGGCTTGAAGAGGAGTTCGTCAACATCTTGACCGGGACTGGCAACATCCATCCGAGCTATTCAACTTCTTCGAGTTCAGTAACTGATAGCATTAACTATGAATTAGTTGAAGAGGATTACTTAGACTACGATATTGTACCATCTGAAGAAGAAATAAATGATCTCCGGAGTATTGCTGAAAGGATGGACTCTGTTCAGTGCGTTCAGGTTTACAGGAGAGTAAGGAAGGGTATAGTGGATGTGTGTTTCCAACGTCTTGGCATCGAGAAATTGAGCATTCAACAAATTTGGAGGTTGGAATGGCAAGTGTTGGAGGTGAAGATCAGACAGTGGATACATGCAGCCAAGTTTTGTGTTCAAATTTTCTTTCCCAAAGAGAAGCAACTCTGTGAGCAAATCCTTGCAAGTCTTGAAACTGTTGCAATTGATTACTGTTTTACGGAAATAGTTAGAGATGCCACAGTTCAGTTATTTGACTTTGTGGATGCCATAAGTACTAGTCGTCTATCGCCAGAGAGGCTGTTCAAATTTATAGACCTCCACGAAGCATTGTCAGATCTTCTACCTGAAGTGGACACTCTTTTTCAATCAAAATCAGCAGAACCTATTGAAATCGAGGTTGTTGAGTCACCTATTCAAATCCGAGCTGTTGAGATACTTTCTCAGCTCAAGGAAGCAGTCAAAGGGACTCTATTGCAACTAGAGAAAGAAGTGTGTCATAAGCAGTCAACAATTTTGGTTCCTAGTGGGATTATTCACAGCTTGACTAGGTATGTGATGGATTATACCATTTGGGTCTCCGAGTACAAGCACTCTTTAACTTCAATAATTGTATCTAAGCCATCAACATATTTGAAATATTTTGATGATGAGACGATTATTCATATGGACTATATAGAAGTTGAGGGGCAAACTCCGTTGGCACTCCATTTAATTTGGATTATTCAGAATTTAGTACGCCAGTTGAATGTCGAGTCCAACCACCACGATGATGTCGACTTGGCTTTTTCGTTCATGGTGGACAATGCTCTTTACATTCTTCAGAAAATTATAGGCTGTCCAGAATTGAGGATGATGGTTGGCAATCATTTGTTACACAAATTATATAGATTTTTAATCCACTATGTGAGAGTTTCAACATTGAGAATCGAATCCAGTATGAGACGAAAGAAACTAGGCACCAGTGGGTGCTGCTCTTCTGGGATGTCAAGGATTGGTTTGAGAGAGACTTGGCTCTTATCGGTGTTTTCTTTTGGGTAAGTGTTTGATCTAACGGGTAATGGAGATAGTGATGGTTATAGTAATGATGTTGAACCTAGGACATGAGTTTTTCTTGTTTAGGCACGTCGATCACCTTAGAAGGAATAGATTAAGTTGTCGGTTAAGCGTTAATGATTGATGGTGTCATTGATGATATTGAGGTGATAGTTGGGTGTTGAGTATTTTGGGTTTCATGCTCATTTTGGGTGTTGAGTAGATTAAGTTATCAGTTAAGCATTAATGATTGATGGTGTCATTGATGATATTGAGGTGACAGTTGGGTGTTGAGTATTTTGGGTTTAATGCTCATTTTAGTTTTGAGGATTCATTGGTTTTGAAGCTCCTTTCTAGTAATAGGTAGTGATCATTATAGGGAGTATCGAGAGTAATGTCTGTTCTTTGGTCATAGTGGCTTAGTGGTTTGGCGGGTTGGTAGGTTTGAACCGTTGTTTCGAATGAGTGGCAGTAGAGACACTATGGCGTGATAATTTACAGTGATGAGTATAATGGTTCGAGGTATGATTCGAATGTGGGTTGAAAATTATGAGTATTGTCATATACTGACAGATATGTGATGGGATAGTGCATCAATCGAGGTGATGGTGGACAGCTTAGTTTTTAGAACCAGCTAAAGTGGTGTTGTCTTATAGGCACCTATTTCTTTTGGAAGATTCAGTGGGTTATTGTGATTGAGGTCGCGGGTCTTGCGTTTACAATGATTGAGGCAGTGTCGACTTCAAAAGGGTAGAGATGGAAAAGGTGATCAGGTGTCGTTGTATTTCATAGAGCTTCTGTTTGGGAGATTATCGATTAGGATTGGACGCGGTGTCCAACGTACAATGATGGTTCCTAGTGTTAGCATGTAGAAAAAGTGGGTGCTCTTGTCTAGTTGGTTTTGGTTGGCATAAGTATCGCGATGTATCATATGGAGGTATTTGCGTTGAAAGAGTGTGTGACGGTCTGTTATGGCGAGGTCGCCTAGAATCAAGGTTATAGTTCCGTATGTGCGTCCAGTTGGTTCTTTCCCTTATGCGTAGGGAGTTCATTTCCTCTCAGGTGAGGTTGGGTGTCCATTGTTAGACGACTGGTAAGTAGTGTGTGATAGGGTGTTTGGTTCATGCAGGTGCGAGTTGTTGGTCTCTTGTAAGAGCGGGGCTTGTTACCCTTTCCGTTTGTTCTAGTCCTGGCAAGGACGTCGTTTGTTGTTTGTCTTGTCTCTGTCTAGGTGTTGTGCGCGTCCGTGGATGGACGGATTTGTGAGCGAGTGTTGCGCCGTTAGAGTTCATTGATTAAGATTCTGATTAAAGAGGGTTGACTTACTTCCACGGAGGAATGTATAGTTTTGGTTTGGTAGTGTTTGTTTTGAGAATGGTTTTGATTAGTGGAATGCGAGGCACGGGTTGCTGAATAGGGACTGTGCCTCCGATGTTTAGTGCTATCAGTGATGGCTAAGGAGTGTGTCGTGAATGGCAATATGAGGATGATTAGGTGATGTGATATGACTCATGTATTGCATGTTTTTAGAAGTGATTGATTCTAGTAATGTCTTGAGGATAAATGTTGGTATCGTTTGAGTGCTAAGTAGCTAGAGGGAGAATGTATGATCTTATTGAGGAATAATAGGAATGATTGACTTTGGTTTTGAGGTTTTCGGCATGAAATGATCGTAGTGAGTGTTTTGATAAGGTTAGAATTGAATTGAATGATGTTATGATGTGGATTACGTGTTGTGGGTGTTATGAGGTGACTGAAAGGCTTTTAGGTTGATTGATGATTTTGGTATTGGCGATGTGTTACTTTGGCTTGTTATGATTGTGTAATCGAGGAATGATTGTCATGTTACTTTTAGCATATCGTTTTATGACTATATGGTTATTGAGGTTATGTAGAGCGATGGATTGATTAGAGAATGGACCTTATGGTTGTCTTGTGGACTGTATAGGGTTGCGTTTGAGGTTTAGACCTGAGGACAGGAACGATGTCTGTGTCGAGGTCGGATTGAGGATGAGAATGGCCTGGCCAACCATTTCTCCTAAGTCAATCCTTCCTTGGCACGATGTCGGGTCAAAGGTCAATAATCATTCTGACTTGTTAGTGATAGTGAAAGTATGGTACTGTACGTTGTGTTGGTGTGACGACGTGAACTTACCTGATTTATCTTGGGTGACGGAAAGTGTCAGGCGGTATTGGGTGCTTATTAACAAGTTAGTAGTACAATCATTGATAATAGAGAATCTCGTTTTGAGGATTTGTGTTCAGAATACAGAGTAATACATTTTATTGTTTTGGTGACTCATGATTAAATAATTGTTGGAGGATACATCGTTTAGTTATCTTGAGGATTGATCCGTATGATAATTATCGATTGGTGTGATTGGTGGTTATTGTATAATTATGTAGTTGTATAGCCGTACGTTAGATGACAAGTATTGGTTGGACAGTGATGTGTAAATTGGGTTTGAGTTTGACTGTGCGTTGGATGAGATTTCTCATTTGGGGTCTAGGTTGCCCTTTAGAAGGATGAGTGTGTTAGGATGCTGTCATGTTCAGGGGTCTTGTGACCATTCTTCTTCGAGCTCCGAAGTATTATGTAGCGGTGTAGAGGAGATCAGTGTTGGTCTTAAGTCGAGTATAGGATTTAGTGGGTTTTGTGTATGATTTTGTGAGCGACGAGTTCCCTCATGGGCTGTGATCATTGGGTTTTCTGACTACAGTGTGTGATTGCCTGTTGGCGCTGGTGTCAAGGGCAATATGGTTGATTGGGTTCTTAGTCTCAGGATTTTGTGTGGTGTTCTCAGAAAGACTCTGGTCGTGGGCCTCCTTCTTTTAAGGATGGTAGATTTCGAGGACGAAATCTCTTTAAGGAGGGTAGATTGTAACGTTTCCAATTTTCAGCATTTTTCAATTTTCTGGAATTTTGTTGCTGCAAGGGTATTTTGGTCATTTCACTTTTACGCGCGGGATTTTGGTTGAGTCCAATTGTATTTGGTGCATTTATTTTCATGTGACTTATGTAGCATTTTGTGGTGGTGCACTTGTATAGGTGTGTGTGGTATAGGAATTAAAGCAAAAGAAAAAAAGAAAAGAAAAAGAAATTCGCGGGGCCCACCACTAACCTCAAAAGTGGTCTTGAGACCACATCCTCTCTCTCACTCTTTCTCTCTCCCCGTAAGTCTCTCCTTCTCCTTCATTTCCATTTCATTTTTCTTTTCTTTTTGTTTCAAGCCTTCAAATCTTGATTCCAACTTCAATACTTGCCGGATTTAAGTGCCGTTTAAGGCAAAACGAAGCCCACGACGAACTTTACGCATCAGTACAAGCAATTCCAGATTTGGTGCTCCCTTTGGCCTTCGAATTTTGAAACCCATTTTGAGGGTTTTTCACATTTTGGAGGCAGGGGTCCTTAATCCATGAAGTTCTTGTGCTTTAGTGAATTAATCTACTTGAATTTTGTCTTAGCATGCTTAGTTGCTTTGATTTTTGTTTAAATTGACTTAATTGAGAATATGTGAATTTGTATGATTATATGTTAACTTGATTGTATATAGAAGCATGTTATATGTTGAGTTTTGTGTTCATTGTGTTGCTAATATACTAGAAATGATGTATAAAGGATATGCCTAAGTGTTGAATTTATAATTCCATTATGCTATTTCTATTGTGTAAAAGCATGTTATAGCTTCCTTAGAAGTACTTATGAATTGTGTTAGCTAATTAAATTTGAGCTAATTGTGAGATGATGAACATTGGCATGACATAAATGCATCTATGCATTTACATTGGGCAAGGAATGGAAAAAATTGATTTTGAAAAGAAAATGGGAAGTTTTGGGAAAGAATGTATTGATGAAAATGTTTTGATAAAACCCGGTTGCTACGGAGTCACCAACGGGCCGGTAGGTTAATGTAACCTAGAGGGAACTAGGGAGATTGCCCTAGCGTGGTTGAGCTATCTGGGCCCCATAATGACGCTGCGGAGTCACCAAAGGTCAGGGACAGTAGCCAATCTTTCTCTCGGCGCTGCGAAGTCACCAAAGGGGGTTACATTAATAGTTTGAAAGTAATGGTTTTGGAAATGAAAATAGGGAGCGACATCGGCATGCATTTTGCATTTCATGGCATTGCATTATTCGTATTTGAGTTGGTTGGAATATTGTATTATCCCGACTTTGTATGATCCTCATTCCTATTGATCTATTCTTTGTATGGATTCACAAGGACACAAGATGCGTGTCTTAAGTGCTACCTACTGAGCTTTATGCTCACTCTAGTATTTAATAATTTTTTTTCAGGAAACGGGAAAGAAGTGGCGGATGACTTTCCACCACGGTCTAATTTGGATTAGAAGACTTCTTTTTTGCTATTTTTGTATTAAGTCCCTTATTTTTGTAAAATTTTAGTTTGTTATATTTGGTATAGAGGTTTGTGGACTCTTATTATTATAATTATACCTCTGGGCTATAACTTTTGTATGAGTTGTCTAAATGTTGTAAAATATGGACATTTGATATTAATCTTATATTTTGTGGACTGTAATTATGATATTCGGATGATATAGTATGTGGTTGTACCACTATAAAATGAACTAAGTTAAAGCATGGTGAATGGATGAAAGGGATGTTAGAATGTATTATATGTTTATTGTGTTGGGACAGATTAAAAATGCATTTAAACAGCTTGTGGTAGGCCCATTTTTAGGAGAGGTTATGCCGAATTTTTTTTTTTTTATTTTGGCATCAGCTAGGGTCGTTACATTCCAACTGCAATGGTGTTGATGCACACAATCAGAAAGTGCTCTATTTTTGGGGGTTTGGCTTTTGGCATCAGTCTTTTCCGAGAGGCAGGTAAGCATCTGTTAATGTTTATAATCTTTTTTACTTTTACTGAGGTGTAATGGATTAGAAAAACAATATCTTTGCTCTTCATATTATACCAAGTTACGTGAATGAAATAGCCATGGGTAAAACAATATCTTTGCTCTTCATATTCTACTCTGCTACATGAATGAAATAGCCATAGGTTGGTGGAGATTATTAAATACGTACGATCCAGGAAAAATTCATTTTAGCAGAATAACTCTCAATTTTGACATCACATGTCACTTGTTATGTGCCACAATAACACAGCTTGGGAAAATTTTGATTGTTTCGGAATCTTAAATGTTCCATTGTTTGATCAAATTGATGTATGATCTATAATTGTTGCTCCTTTTATTTTTATGGTGTATGTGTCCTTTGAACCACAGGTACTACTTGTATCTCTATTGCATCAATATTGAAATTTACGGAGGATTTTGTATAATTTTATTCATTCAAAATATATGCTGGTGGAACTTGCTATAGAGGTCTCCTTTCACTAGTACCTCCCCTGTCTTGTCCCATTAGAAACCATTTGCTTAACAAAATTCTACGTTAAATTCATTTTAAGCTCTCGGTTACTTCATTTCATTTGCCAGTATTGTTTTGAGTGCTTAAAGAATACATTAACTTGTTACTATGTTAAGCATATTTTATGCCATTTCTTCTTGCTACCTATTCTAGAAAATGATAGTCGACCTATAAATATATCTGTTATACATCATATGTTAACAGTACCTATTAGATTGTTTGGAGACTCTTCAGGTGGGGGCATTAATTGCCAGCCCTTTTGACATGTATATGTATTGCATGAGCAGAAGAAATGTTCAAGTGGCTAATTCAGTTACATTTACTCCACTTTTAGTTTCTATTATGCGCTATGTCTTGAATTTGTTTCCTTTTGTTGTTGTGATGTCTCTGTTCTCTTAACTTTGTTACAATAATGCCGATTCTAGTGTTACATGCATTACTTGTTTGTTGGGTGCAATAAATTTATTTGCCCGCTCAGCATTGCTGTTCTGCTTATTTATGATATCTGATGCAGCTGCTTGTATATAGGACATGGGAACAACTTGTGTGTTGATTTCTGTATCTCTGACTCTATTATTTTAAATTTCTTGTGCTTTTATTTCTGTTTGAGAATGTTGTGTAAATTTCCTGGATAATAGAGTTACTTTGAATGGTATAGTTTTTATAATGTTGTGATATATATGTATATATATATAATTAATGTTAAAAGAAAAAGAAATAAAACAAGTGGGCCCCACCACTATATTAAAAACATCAAAAAGGCCATAAGGCCATTACAGATACACATTTCAATTCTCTCTCTCAGCAGTTTCCATGTTCTCTCTCTGGAATATTTGTTTTATTTTTGCTTTCACCATTCAAAGCTTGATCTAGTTCTATTCCTTTGAAATTTGGTAGGACATTGTGAAGCAAAGTTGTTGAGCTCGTCGAGGCCGTCAATTTGATAGGAACCAATCATCATTTGGTGCACTCCAAGGAGTTCGAAATTCTAGGGTTCTTGGGCTCAAATTGGGAGTTTTCATCAATTTGAGGTAGGGGTGTTCTAATCTACAATTTCTTGGCCTTTGGTGAATTTTTCCCCTTAAATTTGATTCTAAGCATGCTAAATTTTAATTACTTAGCTTGTTGTTGCTGTAGTTCTTTGTAATTACAATGATAATTGTGCTCCTTGTGTTATTTAAGTTCGTATACATGTTTATTTTCATTACGGTAAATGAGCATGCTTAGTGTTTGATGTGTTGTATGTTTCCATGATTATTTATTTATTTATTGTCTTGAAGAAAAATGGATACTATGGTTATAAATAAATAAAGGAAAGGAATGTTTAGAAATTTTCATTAAATTGTGATGATAATGTAAATGGAAATGTGTGAAAATATATAGTTAAATTAATGATTTGAAGCATGAAGTATTCATGCATCCATTGGGAAAGAGAAAGGGGGAAAAATAATTGTTAGAACAAATAAAATTGTTTTGGGGAAAATATTTTCTAAAAGTGTTGCGAAAACCGGACACCTAGGAGGCGCCTTGTAACGACCCTCACCCTCGCCAGACACAATATTGTCCGCTTTTGGCTTACCCAGACCAGAGACTTCCCAGGGGGTCACCCATCCTGGTACTACTCCAAGTTAAGCACGCTTAACTACAGAGTTCTGATGGGTTCACGGCCATCACGGCTTTAAAACGCGTTGTGTCATAGAAGGGTGTTGAATCTACATATAGCACTTGCCCCATCCACACCCAGACGATGTGGGATTGTGCACCTGCAGCTTGCCCAGGGTAGTAGCCTACTAGTGCCCCCTGCACACGCTCACACACACCCGCCCACAAGGTCGCCACAATCACCCCCCTTTGGGGCCCAACGTCCTCGTTGGCCACACTTTCGGCTGGGTCAGGCTCTGATACCATTTGTAACGACCCTCACCCTGACCAGGGTGAGGGTCGTTACAGTGGTCCGTGATGTTGGTGTAGTCTAGAAGGGAATGTAGTTGAGTTAACTAGGCCGGATGCGATGCCTTAGAGGTGCCTTGTGGTCGTGGATAGTTAACCAACCTTCCTTTCGTGATGCCATGGAGGTGCCTTGGGTCGGACTACACTAACGGTTTGGTTGTTGAAAAGGAATTGTTTCAAAAATAGGGAGTGATATTTGCATAACATTGCATTTCATGACATCGTGGTAAATTTGTGATTGGTTGATATTTGTTATATACTTGTTATTGTGGTTGAGAATGGGTGTTTTCCGATGGCATGATCCCGTTCACTTTTTATCTATTCATTGTATGGATTCACGGGGACATAAGAAGTATGTCTTAGACACTTCCTACTGAGCTTATGCTCACCCCCTTATTTTTAACATTTTTTCAGGATATGGAAAAGAGGTGGCGGACGACGGTCCACCACAGGTTTAGATGAGCTTGAAGACCCATTCTATTTTATTATCTTTTGTATTAGACTCTAATATTTTGTAAATGTAATATTAACTATCTTGTGACACTTTAGTTTAATTAGTATAATGTTGTAAGCTATGGACTTTTAATTCTAGCTACATTTTATGGACTGTAATTTGATGTAACTTAAGTGGGTTCCATGTTTGGATGAGATGGAGGAACGGGACTTTTGTATGTATGTAACCATTTTGGGAATGTAGTATAATATCTGAATTGTGCGTTGGGACATGATAAGTTAGATTTAAGGCACAGTGAGGCCACTGCATTTATTTTTTTATATTTCAACAGGTTGTTGAGGGACATTTTCTGCGGAAGTCATGCCAAAATTTTTATACATTTTTATTATTATTTTGGTATCTTTTCGGGTCGTTACAAATTTGGTATCAGAGCGATGGTTCGAATACCATTAGGACGACGGGTAGAGGCCTACCTAGGATTGCATGGGGAGTTTGAGTTATTTGCTTACTTGTTTAATTGCTTACGTGATTGCATGCTTATATGTTTATGTGTTAAGGTGTTTAATTATTTGAAAGGCATGTTTAATTGTTTAAATACTTATATCATTACGTGTTAAGTGGTTAATGTTGTTGTATATTATTATGATTATGTTTATCCTTAGTTGGGTATTTTGGAAGTATGGAAGGTGTTTATGTGTTTCCATTCTTGTCAAGTCATTTGTGTGAGGACTCCGTTCTCGTGCGTATTTTAGTGTCATCGTAATTGATCCGTTTCTTTTTCTTATAGCTTCATGCCAACACGAAGGGATCCTGGGGAAAGTTCTAGCTCTAATCTCGTAGAAAGGGATCAGGAGCAAGTTGAGGAAGATATCTTATTGCGTGATTTGGTCCCACCAAGAGAGGGACAAACGAGGGGGACCGTCGACCCACCTTTTCAGATAAATAGGGAGCAGTTGAGGTTACCCGTTCAGGAGGCTATTTTTGATGCATATTGACCGACAAGTGCGTCATTGTCACAGTTTGTGCCACCACCGGCACCACCACCACCACCTCCAAAGAAAAATGAGTTAGATGATACTCTTTACCACATTGCAAAGTTTGTGAAATTGATGCCAACTTTGTTTGAGGGCGGTCCAGATCCGCTTGTTGCGGATAGTTTCATGGATAGGGTGGAGAAGCATATTAATGCCATGAATTTGGCAACGGACAAGTTGAAGATTACATTGGCTACTTACAATTTTGTGGGCGATGCTGAGATTTGGTGGAAGACCGTTTCTCACACCCATAATCTGGATACTATGACATATGCTACATTCAAGAAGTTGTATTATGAGAAGTACTTTCCGACGCCTAAGCGGAGGGAAGGAGTTTGATGGGTTAAAGCAAGGAAGTATGACAGTTACAGAGTATGAAAACAAGTTTACATCACTTTTGAGATTTGCACTGGGAATTACTAATGATGAAGAAGGAAAGATAGAGAAATTTGTTGATGGCCTTGATCTTACCATTAGGCCAATTGTAGCTGCTTCAGAACCGACAGAGTATGCAAAAGCAGTACGAAAGGCTTTAGTGGTTGAGGCTGAGAGCAAGGACAACAAGGCTATCAGGGAGTCCTACAAGCACAACAGGGGTTTGAGTACTTTCTCCGAAGGTCAATCAAGTAAGAAGCAAAAGCATAAGCAGTCAGGGTTCAGGGGACAGCAGCCAGTCAGATCTGCACCAACAGCTTCAGTGTCCATGGGGTCGTCTAGACCGAATGTTACTTGTTTTAGATGCGGGCAGTTGGGACATTACAAGTCCCAATGCACTCAAACACAGGTAGCTCAGATGATTTGTTTCAAGTGTGGGCAGCCAGGGCATCACAAGTGCCAGTGTACTCAGATTCAGGTGGCGTCTGGTGGATGTTTCAGGTATGGCCAGCAGGGCCATAGGGTGAAAGATTATCCACAGCGGGGCAGTGGTTTGGGCAGAGGTGGAGGTTCACAGTAGAGGCAGATGCAGTCTGCCACAGTTCAGTCAGGGTTTCGACTACCACCATCACCTCAGCCGTCTCAGCCAGCTATGTCAGCCCAGAGTTCTCGACCTGGTAGGGGAGCTTCTTCGAGTGCACCTACTCAGCAGTCTGGCTATCAGGCAGGCAGTTTCCAGGGGCAGAGAACCCAGGGTCGCGTGTTTGCACTCACTCCAGCCGAGTCACCATCTAGTTCTTCAGTTGTCAGGGGTATGTTTCTTGTGTCCCATTCTTGGGCTCGTGTATTATTTGATTCCGGTGCTTCTTATTCATTCATTACTTCATCATTTGTACGGGTATTGGGTTTAGAGGTCTGTCAGTTAGACAAACCGCTTTATGTTGACACGTCTATCGGGGGTTCAGTTGCTCTTAGTAAAGTTTGTAGGAGTTGTTCCATCACAATTGCCGAACGTGTTCTTGAGTTCGATCTCATCCTTCTCGAGATGACGGGATTTGACGTCATTCTTGGGATGGACTGGTTGTCATCCTTCAGAGCTGTCATTGATTGTTTCAGGGGCATAGTTTCAGTGTGTACCCCGGATGGGGATTGTTTCTGTTTTATGGGAGATCGGTGTGATCCTCTCACTCATTCATTTTATAGTGTTAGGGGTCGAGATCGGCAGACATTCTTCTTGGCTAGTCTTTTCGCCGATGATGACGTTGAGTTTTATGGGGTTGATTATCAAGCGGTTGTGCGTGATTTTTTGGATGTGTTTCCGGAGGACTTGACTAAGTTGCCTCTACACCGAGAGGTGGAATTTGCTATTGATTTGATGCCTGGTACCGCGCCAATCTCTATGGCACCGTATCATATGGCACCGATTGAATTAGAAGAATTGAAAAAGCAACTTGATGATTTAAGAGTGAAATGCTTTATACGACCGAGTTTGTCACCGTAGGGTGCACCGGTCTTGTTCGCTAAGAAGAAAGATGGTTTTTTGAGGTTGTGCATTGATTACCGAAAATTGAATCATGCCACCATCAAGAACAAGTATCCTTTCCCAAGGATAGATGATTTATTTGATCAGTTGAGGGGAGCCAGTTATTTTTCGAAGATTGACTTGAGGTCAGGCTATTATTAATTACGGGTTAGAGAGGAGGATATTCCAAAGACCGCGTTCCGTACGCGGTATGGACATTACGAGTTTCTTGTTATGCCTTTTGGTTTAACCAATGCGCCGGCTGCATTCATGGATTTAATGAACCGTGTCTTCCATGACTACTTGGATCAGTTTGTGGTAGTTTTCGTGGATGATATTCTTGTGTATTCACGGAGTCGGGAGGAGCACGAGGTCCATTTGGGTATAGTGTTGCAGATTCTACGGGAGCACCATTTGTACGCCAAGTCTAGAAAGTGTAAGTTTTGGCTACAAGAGGTGAAATTTTTGGGAGATGTTGTCTCGGAAGGTGGGGTTTCAGTTGATCCTTCAAAAATAGAGGTAGTTTTGAGTTGGGAGCAACCTAAGAATGTCTTTGAGATCCAGAGTTTCCTTAGCCTAACGGGTTATTATCGGAGATTTGTGAAGGATTTTTCCCGTTTGGCAGCTCCTATGACCAGATTGACCAGGAAAGGGATCAAATTTGCATAGAATGAGGCCTGTGAGTCATCCTTTCAAGAGTTAAAATCAAGGTTGACTACGGCTCTGGTGTTAGTGATACCTGAGCGTGGCTTGGGTTATGTGATCTATTGTGACGCCTTACGTGATGGTTTGGGTTGTGTACTGATGCAAGATGATAGAGTAGTGGCTTATGGGTCTCGACAGTTGAAGACTCACGAGCTTAATTACCCTACTCATGACTTAGAGTTAGCGGTAGTTGTATTTGCTTTGAAGTGTTGGAGACACTATTTGTATGGTGAGAAATTTGAGATGTTCTCGGACCACAAGAGTCTCAAGTAACTTTTCTCCCAAAAGGACTTGAACAACAGACAGAGACGACGGGTTGAATTCTTAAAAGACTATAACTTTGATTTACAGTATCATCCTGGCAAGGCAAATGTGGTAGCTGATGCTTTAAGCCGGAAATCTCGTGGGACTTTGGCTAGTTTAGCCATTCGAAAATGGAAGATGCTGAAAGATTTGGCTGAAATGGGATTGTATTGTTTTGATGATGATGATAATGGCAGTGAGTCAGCATTCTTGTTTACTCTCGTGGCTCAACTCACTCTTGTTAGACGAGTGATTGAGTCACAGAGACAGGATTCAGATTTGGATGCCATTTACACTTTGATCTCCAGTGGCGAGACCGTGAAGGATTGGACCTTACATGCAGATGGAGGTCTACGGTTTAAAGGTTTGTTGGTTGTTCCTACAGTTTGTCGTGAGGACGTCTTACGGGAGTTTCATACTTCCCGCTTTGCAGTTCATCCAGGTGGTACCAAAATGTATCACAATCTGAGACGTCAGTATTGGTGGAATGGAATGAAGAAGGATGTTGCACAGTTTGTAGCTAAGTGCCTTACCTGTCAGCAGGTGAAAACCGAGCACCAGAGACCAGCTGGTTTATTGCAGCCGTTGCCAGTAGCGCAGTGGAAATGGGAGGAGATTGCAATGGATTTTGTGACAGGTCTTCCTAGGTCACGGAGGGGAAATGAAGCCGTATGGGTCATTATCGATAGATTGACCAAGACAGCTCACTTCTTGCCTATTAAGGCAATAGATGACGCAGAGACACTTGGTGTACTTTATGTGAAAGAGATTGTGAGATTGCACGGAATTCCAGTGGCTATTGTGTCGGATAGGGATGCTAAGTTCACCTCGAAGTTCTGGGAAGGACTTCAAGCAATGTTTGGCTCAGCGTTGCACCTTAGTACTGCATTTCATCCACAGACGGACGGCCAGTCGGAGCGTACCATCCAGATCTTGGAGGATATGCTTCGAGCCTGTGTACTTAACTTGGGTGGTAGTTGGGAGCATCACCTTCCACTTATTGGGTTTGCCTACAACAATAGTTATCAGACGAGTATTCAGATGGCTCCATTTGAGGCATTGTATGGTAGACCTTATAGGTCTCCTGTCTGTTGGACTGAGGTGGGCAAGACAACCGCCTTTGGACCCGACATTGTACTCACTACCGAAAAGATTAAGCTGATCAGACAGAGATTGCTTACAGCTCAGAGCCGACAGAAGAGTTATGCAGATAGGCGGAGACGACCGCTATCATTTGAGGTGGGAGACCATGTTTTTCTTCAAGTTTCTCCAAGGAAGGGGTTGATGAGGTTCGGGAAGAGTGGCAAGTTGTCGCCACGATTTATTAAACCTTTTGAGATCTTAGACCGCGTAGGAGAGGTTGCCTACAGACTAGCATTGCCACCACATATGGACAAGGTTCATAATGTCTTTCATGTGTCGATGCTACGGAAGTACGAGCCAGATCCGTCTCATATTTTGAGTTGGGTTGATGTGGACATTGATGAGGATGTTTCCTACGAGGAGGGACCAGTTCAGATTCTTGACACACAACAGAAGGTGTTGAGGAAAAAGACGATATCGTTGGTAAAGGTTCTTTGGAAGCATCATGGAGTTGAGGAGGCTACTTGGGAGCTCGAACAGGAGATTCGCTCCAAGTATCCAAAGTTGTTTTCTCTCTTAGGTATGGCCTGATTTCGGGAACGAAATCTTTTAAAGTTGGGGAGAATGTAATGTTGTGATATATATGTATATATATATAATTAATGTTAAAAGAAAAAGAAATAAAAAAAGTGGGCCCCACCACTATATTAAAAACATCAAAAAGGCCATAAGGCCATTACAAATACACATTTTAATTCTCTCTCTCGGCAGTTTCCATGTTCTCTCTCTGAAATATTTGTTTTATTTTTGCTTTCACCATTCAAAGCTTGATCTAGCTCTATTCCTTTGAAATTTAGTAGAACATTGTGAAGCAAAGTTGTTGAGCTCGTCGAGGCTGTCAATTTGATAGGAACCAATCATCATTTGGTGCACTCCAAGGAGTTCGAAATTCTAGGGTTCTTGGGCTCAAATTGGGGGTTTTCATCAATTTGAGGTAGGGGTGTTCTAATCTACAATTTCTTTGCCTTTGGTGAATTTTTCCCCTTAAATTTGATTATAAGCATGCTAAATTTTAATTACTTAACTTGTTGTTGTTGTAGTTCTTTGTAATTACAATGATAATTGTGCTCCTTGTGTTATTTGAGTTCATATACATATCTATTTTCATTACGGTAAATGAGCATGCTTAGTGTTTGATGTGTTGTATGTTTTCATGATTATTTATTTATTTATTGTCTTGAAGAAAAATGGATGCAATGGTTATAAATAAATAAATAAATAAAGGAAAGGAATGTTTAGAAATTTTCATTAAATTGTGATGATAATGTAAATGGAAATGTGCGAAAACATATAGTTAAATTAATGATTTGAAGCATGAAGTATTCATGCATCCATTGGGAAAGAGAAAAGGGGAAAAATAATTGTTAGAACAAATAAAATTATTTTGGGGAAAATATTTTCTAAAAGTGTTGTGAAAACCGGACGCTTAGGAGGCGCCTAGTGGTCTGTGATGTTGGTGTAGTCTAGAAGGGAATGTAGTTGAGTTAACTAGGCCGGATGCGACGCCTTGGAGGTGCTTTGTGATCGTGGATAATTAACCAACCTTCCTTTCGTGACGCCATGGAGGTGCCTTAGGTCGGACTACACTAACGGTTTAATTGTTGAAACGGAATTGTTTCGGAAATGGGGAGTGACATTTGCATAACATTGCACTTTATGACATCGTGGTAAATTTGTGATTGGTTGATATTTGTTATATACTTGTTATTGTGGTTGAGAATGGGTGTTTTCCGATGGCATGATCCCGTTCACTTTTTATCTATTCATTGTATGGATTCACGGGTATTCATTGTATGGATTCACGGGGACATAAGAAGTGTGTCTTAGAGACTTCTTACTAAGCTTATGCTCACCCCCTTATTTTTAACATTTTTTCAGGATATGGAAAAGAGGTGGCGGACGACGGTCCACCACAGGTTTAGATGAGCTTAAAAACCCATTCTATTTTGTTATCTTTTGTATTAGACTCTACTATTTTGTAAATGTAATATTAACTACCTTGTGATACTTTAGTTTAATTAGTATAATGTTGTTAGCTATGGACTTTTAATTCTAGCTATATTTTATGGACTGTAATTTGATGAAACTTAAGTGGGTTCCATGTTTGGATGAGATGGAGGAACGAGACTTTTATATGTATGTAACTATTTTGGGAATGTAGTATAATATCTGAATTGTGCGTTGGGACATGATAAGTTAGATTTAAGGCCCAGTGAGGCCACTGCATTTATTTTTTTTGTATTTCAACAGGTTGTTGAGGGACATTTTCTGCGGAGGTCATGCCAAAATTTTTATAGATTTTTATTATTATTTTGGTATCTTTTCGGGTCATTACAGTTTTTTTTTTTTTTTTTTTTGAACTGGAGTAATATTTGTGCTTTGCCTAATGCTTTTTAATCAAATATCATCAAACTTTTCTTACATTCTCTCTTTGTTGTTAGTTTTAGTTTTAGTAATACTTATACCCCTACTTTTCACTTCTATTTGATTGTTATAATGAAGTATTAAACTACATTATCCTTCAACCAAACCATACAAGAAAAAGCTTCATTTTTGTCTTACCTTAAATTTATTCCATTCTTCTATCTTTCCCCTACAAACTGGTTAATTAGTATTTGGGAACAGAACATTTGCTTGTGTATTTGATAATAAAAAGGTCACAATTAAACAAGAAAAACATCTTTGTTCCTTTTTATTTACCAAAATAAAAAATTAAAAAACCTTGTTCCCTTTTTATTAGATGCTGACAAAATCTCTTGTTCACTATTCATTTTCTCCACTCTTTCCTAGAATCTTTCTTGCAAACTCTGTAGTCTTGTTTCCATTCTTTTCCCTTTACCAATGAGACAAGACCACAGGTTATAACTTACATATACATTGCCATTTCTCTGAGTTTAAATAATTTGAAGAATTAGAACACAGAACCATAGTTGAAACTGCTCTTACAATGGAAACTCCAGACAATGTTGTGGCTTCATTCGAGTCAGCTGTGAAGATAATTTTGCAATGGGATGTAAGTGCTACGAGAGGACACATGATGTTTGATGGAGAAGATCACAATGAGATAAATCAGTACTTGCGAGCCATTGATGAGATCCGCTGCTGGATGGAATTAACGACTGTGCCTGATGATGACAAGCAAGGCCAACAGTGTGCTCAAGAAAGCCATGGCCCGGCTCGAGGAGGAGTTTGTCAACATTCTGACCGGGACAGGCAACATCAGTCCGAGCTATTCAACTTGTTCGAGTTCAGTAACTGATAGCATTAGCTATGAATTATTTGAAGAGGATTACCTAGACTACGATATTGTGCCATCTGAAGAAGAAATCAATGATCTCCAGAGTATTGCTGAAAGGATGGATTCTGTTCAGTGCGTTCAGGTTTACAGGAGAGTAAGGAAGGATATAGTGGACGCGTGTTTTCAACGCCTTGGCATCGAGAAATTGAGCATTTAAGAAATTTGGAGGTTGGAGTGGCAAGTGTTGGAGGTGAAGATCAGACACTGGATACGTGCGGCCAAGTTTTATGTTCGAATTTTCTTTCCAAAAGAGAAACAACTCTGTGAGCAAATCTTTGGAGGTCTTCAAACTGTTGCAGTTGATTTCTGTCTTACGGAAATAGTTAGAGATGCCACAGTTCAGTTATCTGACTTTGTGGATGCCATAGGTACTAGTCGTCTATCACCAGAGAGGCTGTTCAAATTTATAGACCTCCACGAAGCATTGTCAGATCTTCTGCCGGAAGTGGATGTTCTTTTTCAATCAAAATCAGCGGAACCTATTGAAATCAAGGTTGCTGAGTCACCTTTTCGAATCCGGGCTGTTGAGATACTTTCTCAGCTCAAGGAAGTAGTCAGAGGGACTCTATTGCAGCTAGAGAAAGAAATGTGCCATTAGCAATCAACAATTTTGGTTCTGGGTGGGACTATTCACAGCTTGACTAGGTATGTGATGGACTATACCATTAGGATCTCCGAGTACAAACAATCTTTAACTTTGTTAATTGTAAACAGATTTGAAATATTTGGATGATGAGACGATTATTGATATGGACTATGTAGAATTTGAGGGCCAAACCCCGTTTGCACTCCATTTAATTTGGATAATTCATAATTTAGTACACAAATTGACTGTCAAGTCCAAACACTATGATTACGTTGACTTGGCTCTTTTTGTTCGTGGTGGACAATGTTTTATACATTTTTCAGAGAAAGGCTGTCCAGAAATGCGGATGATGATTGGCCGTGATTTGTTAAAGGAATTAAGAGAACTTCTTAAATACTATATGGCAGTTTTACTATTGAGAATCAAGTCTCGTATGACATACAGAAAACTAGGCACCAGAGGGTGCTGCTCTTCTGGGATGTCAATGAGTGCTAACAGAGAGGTGTTCAAGACCCTCAAAGCCATTGTTGAAGAATGTGAAAGGAAGTACTGTAAAAGGCATTTGATGCATCGACAAGCTGATCCCAGTTTACATGTCATTTGTTGGCCTCTGAGGCTTGTAGTTGATTCAAACAGGAAGGGGATGTGAGTTTTGGAAGACACTGAAGATACTCTTCATGAAAATAGTTTGTGTGCTTTTGGGGGATCCAACAATTTTTGCAGATTTGGTGCTGGATTTAATCTCCAGATGAGTCTCCGGCCCTTACTGCATGTGGTTAGTTAATTACAGTCTAAGCCATCAATGACAAGCTCAGGGTCCCTCAAGGTTTTGATCTGCACCGCTCGATTATGCCTTTAGTGGCCTATTGGGGGCTGGCTTTTGGCATCATTTTTTTGGGAGAGGCAGGTAAGCATATGGTAGTGGTTTTAATCTTTTTACTTTTACTGAGTTGTAATGGATTGGGAAAAGAATATCTCTGATTCTTTGCTCTTCATGTTCAACTCAGCTACATGAATAAAATAGCCAAATGTAGTGGAAATTATTAAATGCTATCCAGAAAAAAATCCTTAGAGTTGAAAAACACACTCAATTTTGACATCACACGTCACTTGATATGAGCGACAATAACCTAGCTTGGGAAAAAATTGACTTCGGAAGTTTTAATGTTCCATTGATTGATCAAATTGATGTATGAACTATAACTGTTGTTCCCTATTTTGAAAAAAAGAAAAAAAAAAAAAAGGAGTCTTTGTGTCCTCTGATCCCCAAGTGCTAGGTACCTATATCTGCTTTGATAGCGAGCAACTTAATCTATTTATAGCTTAACCAGATGATCCTTTGACAATTTAGCTACTGCAACCAGCATGCTCTATTTCAATATTTGGCCTTTCACTACCTCTTCTTCATTGGCGAAGCGAGGTGGTACAGCCCATGAGCTTAATGCCTTGTTGGTGAAATGTTTGCAATTAAGTTTTACTTCAATCTCTATATAGCTCTTACAATTTTAATCTTTGTATATAGCGAGATCTTGATTCTTTCCTTCATCCACGATATCAGTCATCAAAAACTATTTGCATTGGTCAATGAAATCTATTGGTAGAGTGTAGTTCAATGTGCTGCTTTCTAATTGGTTGCATTCTATGCATTTTTTTGTTTATTTGTCTTTGCATTTGGTAGATCTAGTTGCTCCTATTCTTCCTTCCATGATTGACTGGGTCCATCAATTTTCATTCAAAGACTAAATTGTGTTCTGTTGAAAGGTGTGAATAGGAAGGGGGTCTTTGTAGTTCCTCTTTCACTATCAGCAATAACTCTTGAAGAAAAAATGAGTTTGATTTCGTGGAACTTCCTTGAGTCTTCTTCCAGTCCTTTCCTTTTATCGATAAGAGAATACCATATATAGATGATAACTTAAGGATATCCATTAATCGCCTGTTCTCTGAGTTCTTATAAGTTGCTGAATTAGAACTTGAAGTGTAATTGAAGCTTGTCTTGCAATGGGAACTTCAGAAAACGTTGAGGCTGCTTATGAATCTGCCGCGAAGATCATTTTGCAATGAGATGCAAGTGCAGCCAGAGGAAAAATGATCTTTGGCAGAGGAGACCGCAATGAGATAAATTGGTACTTGCAGGCCGTTGATGAGATCCACGACGGGATGGAATCTTTGATGACAATGGCGGATTACAACAGCGCGATCAAGATAGCCATGGTTCGGCTGGAGGAGGAGTTTGGCTACATCTTGACCAGGACCGGCCATAGCACTGCAAGGTATTCCACTAGTTCTAGTTCAATAAGTGATGATAGTGTTAGCTATGAATTAGTTGAAGATGATTACTTAGACTATGATATTATCCCATCTGAAGAAGAAATCAATGATCTCCAGAGTCTTGCTGAAAGGATGGACTTTGTTCAGTGCGTTGAGGTTTACGGGAGAGTAAGGAAGGGTACAGTCTACTTGTGTTTTCAACGTCTTGGCATCGAGAAATTGAGCATTCAAGCTGTCTGGAGGTTGGTGTGGGATGTGTTGGAGGTGAAGATCAAACAGTGGATACGTGCAGCCAAGTTTTGTGTTCAAATTTTCTTTCCCAAAGAAAAGCAACTCTGTGACCAAATCTTTCAAAGTCATGGAACTCTCGTAGTTGATTTCTGTTTTATTGAAATAGTTAGAGATGTCATGGTTCAATTATTTGACTTTGTAGAAGTGATAAGTAGTAGTCTTCGATCACCGGAGAGGTTCAAATTTTTAGACCTCCATGAGGCGTTGTTGGATCTTATGCCGGAGCTGAACAATCTTTTTCAATCAAAGTCAACAGAACCTATTGAAATTGAGGTTGTTGAATCGCCCTTTCGAATCCGGGCTGTTGAGATACTTTTAAGGCTCGCGGATGCAGTAAGAAGGAGTCTATTGCAACTGGAGAATGATTTGTGTCATGAGTCGTCAGCGAATCTGATTCCAGATGAAACTATTCACAGCTTGACTAGGTATGTGATGGACTATATTACTCGCATCTCTGATTACAAGCAATCCTTAACTTCATTGATTGTATCTAAGCCATCAACAGATTTGAAATATTCCGACGATGATAAGACGACCATTGATATGGAATTTATAGAAGTCGAGGGACAAACTCCATTGGCACTCCATTTAATTTGGATCATTGAGATTTTAGTATGCAAATTGAATGTCAAGTCCGAGAACTATGAAGATGCTCATTTGTTCATGATGAACAATGTCCATTACATTGCTCAGAGAATTAGAGACTGTCCAAAATTGAGGATGATTATTGGCGATGATTTTGCAAATAAATTAATTGGAAAAGTTCATCTGACATGGATGGTGCGTGCAGTAGATTCAAACAGGATGGGTCGTGTGACTCGTGTCTTATTGAAGATGCAAAATTTGTTCCATACGATTGTATTTTTGGGATTGTATGCTCTGCAAAGTCGCCTTATGGATAGTGATTAATATTTAAATAAATCTGATATTGTGCAGCAGGGAATGCTTGTATCACTTTGAGAAATGAATTAAGTGTGCACTCATTATGTTAGGATGATTTAGATGCATTGAGGGAGTAGAATAGGAGATATAAATCATCAGTTTACATAATCAGATACATTGTTCATATTCTGTGTAGAATTGAGCATTTTATCTAAACGAATGTAAATGTTGGTTTCTATATGGTGGCTTGTCACGGTCATCAAGTGGAGGATTCAAAACTACATGTATTACGATAACCGTTGCAGCAATTTTTATTTACGAGTGCTATAGTGAATAATTCTTAATCATGAGGGAATAATGGACATTTGTCTTTATTTTTGATTATTTTGATTTACCAGAGATCCTTCAAGGCCAAACTATAATGCACATTTGTCTTTATTTTTTATTATTTTGATTTACCAGAGATCCTTTAAGGTCAATAAACTGTGTATTTTGGGTAGTCGCTAAACTGTGGATTTATATATAAGAGCACAAATTTATCAATTTATATTTGACAAAAATATCAATTAGATTTTTACTTAACCTAAATTTGAAAATGTATTTCACTGTAATTCACATTTTCTTAAATACGTAATACATAATATCACATGATTTATTAAATACATCATTTTTTATATCTAATTTCAAAGTTTGAAATTCCATAAAATATATATTGAAAAGTATATTAACTAAAAAACAAAAATTAGTTTTCAAAAAGAAAAAGAATCAAAATCTGAAATTTTATTTTTTTAATAGAAAAAATAATAAATTACAAATTAAACCTACAAATAGATTAAAAATAAAAAATAATATAGAGTGCACAATCAAATTAAACAGAATATTTTATGATATTGTCATCAATTTACATAAATATTGAAACCCTACCCTACACAAAATCCCAGCCCAAATAAGGTAATCAATAGCCTCAAAAGTCAAAACTATCCCGGTCAATGACAAACACGCGGTGTCTCAAAGTTTTGACCGGACGGCTCGATCATATTCATACTTAGAGCATCTCCCATGCAAAAATGCCAAATTCGAATACCAAATCTATATTTTGACAGTGCTACAGTGTCAAAATGCTATATTTTAACAATTCTGCTCCAATGATAAAAATGCTAATTTTTAACACAACCACTATTCTTTTTCAACTACCATTCCCGCCATATATATTTGCATCAGTAATGTTAATATTAGACACATTCCAAGTCAAGTTGTAAACAGTAGAAGGAAACTAAAATTAAACTTAATTAAAAAGAATCAAAAATCTAAAATATTTGATCAAAAAAGGACCCAAAAAAAAAAATATATATATATATATATATATGTATAAATTTTATTTATTTGATTATATTATTATATAATTTTTTTTATATAATTCTTTTTTCTTTTTAGGAAATTTATATTATATATATATATATATATATATATATGTATATTATATATATTTGATTATATTATTATTAAATATATATATATATTTAGGGCAAATCATTTCAGCCTCCCAAATAGCCATATATATTTTTAGGGCAAATCATTTCAGCCTCCCCAATCGCCTCCATCTCTATTCTCGTTCTCAGCTCTGAAATTGCCTCCTCTCGTTGTTTCAGTTCAGGTTCGCCATTTGCAAGCTTCAGTTGTTGGCTCTCACCTCTCAAGTTTGCCTCCCTCTCTCTCTTTTTGCAACTGCTAACTTGTATGTATGGATTTTGATTTAATTTTTTTTTCTAAATCAACTAATGAAGCTCTGTAATTCTCTGTAATTATTTTCTAAATCAACTAATCCATGGCAAGGGCGACCTCTGCTCTCTTCCTTCTTGACATCAAAGGCCGAGAATCTCTTCACCAAACCCATTGAGAAAGAGGTTCGATTTTTGTTTACCTTTTTTAATCAAGGTCTGTAATTCTTGTTTTGCAAATTAAATATTATTTGGTGAAATTTTTTATGATCTTTTTAAAAAAATATATATATATATATGCCAAATCTGAGAACCCCTCCCTCCCTCTTTCTTTTTTTTTTTCTCTCTCTCTCTGAAATAGCAATAGCTATTTCTTACGGACTCGGGTACGTGTCTAGAGGTCGAATCCATCTATCTATTAAATTATAGGACACGGGGACACGGAATAAAAGTGTCCAAAACTCGGACACGGGTACTTGGACACGGCATAGAAAATAGTATATTGGAGTATTAAAGACATATATATAGGCAGTTAGGCATACAACCATACATGAATGCATGATACATGACAGTATATTAGTAATTTAGTATGATATAAATTATATAATTATAACTTATAAGTACCTTATTGGTTTATCACTTTATTGTGATTCTGTGAATACTGAATACTAAATTCCCACACTTGCACTTGTACAGTTGCACTGCACCAGAATACTTTAGTGACTTTAGCCTTCAATTACATATCAGTATATCACCACTAATCACACTTGCATAATCCGCACTTTGCAAGTTTGCACCTGAAATATTAAATTGAAATTTATCTTATGTTGTGAACTTATTAAAAAAAATAAACAGATGCTAAATTGTTAAGCATAAGGATAGAGAAGCATACCTGCTGGTTGCTAAATAGCCTAAATGCCTAAATGAGTATATCATTCACTTTCACCTGTTAAAGACTTGAGAAGTTAAGAGTAAATTAAGGACTTTAAAAGTTCAAAGTTTAAACTACAATTATATAATTTATATCATAAAGTCATAGACACATTCAAAGTATACTATTACATTATTACCAAGCACTGACCCAAGTACTAAGTTACTAACAGAGTAACAGACAAGTTGGCAACTTGGAAACAAGACAACATTTAAGTTCAACAACTCAAAAAATTAAACTAGAAAAGCAAAAATCAAAACTCAAAAGCCAAGGTATGGTTCTTTTATCTTTGAACTGCTTCATTTCTTTTTCTTCAATCCATCATTCCTTGTTGGAATTCTTCAAGTGGTTTAACTTCAGCCCCTAAGACAGCCTCTTGCCCTTCTTCAAATGCATCATCAAATGTTATAAGCTCTAACTCTGGCTCATTGATGGAAAGTTCAGCAAGTTCCCCAAGAGTATTACCATCAATATCAAACTTATCACCACCTATTAAACAAAATAAATTAACATTGATGTAAAAAAAAAAAAAAAATTCATTAAGTAGTTTGTATTCATTCTTCTTTCTTGACATGAGACGGAGGTTGCAATGTACAAAGACCAAATCATCAGCTCTACTTGTAGTCAATCTATTTCTTTTGAAGCTTTGAATAAGAGAATATGTACTCCAATTTCTTTCACAACAAGATGATGATGCAAGCTGTGAAAGAAGCTTGAATGCTAAAGCTTGTAACATTGGTGTTAAAGAACCATGATTTGCCCACCATGAAATTGGTTCCTCATACAATTTTGCATCAATAACATGAGGCTCATTGAAGTAACCGGATCCACTTAAAAAAGCTCCATATTCAATATAAACTTTCCAAAGATCATCTTGATTGCTAAATAATTGTTTGAAACATTTACTTCTATTCAAAGAGACCTCTTGATCTTCATGTGGTAAGAGCCGTGGAACTCCATCACTTCCACCTCTAATCCAAGCTTCAGTGTAGTACTTAGAAACCAATAAATGAGCCATACAATGCAGTGGATTGTTGCTTTTATTCCATCTTGTTTCCAATATATTGTGAATGACATCAAAGAAATTTGATTGGCCAGTCAGCATATCTTGTTTATCATGAGCAAATATTCTGAATTTAACTTTCTCAATCATTGTGTCCCACATATCATAAATCAAATGGAGAACAGGGGCATCAGTGTCTTCTAACCTTAAAAAATCAACAATAGGTTCAGTAAATTCCAAGAGATATTCCAAGTCATCCCACCAACTGTCACTCACAATGCATTTTTTAACTTCCCTAGCCTTGATTTCAATTGCTGACTTTCCATCTCTTTTTAGAAGCCTTCTCCAAGTTGGATCCATCACCATCTTCTCAAGTGCATCCTTCACTTCTTTCAAACGTTTTGCCATGATTATGCTTGATGCAAATCTTGTTTCCGCTACCCTTAGTAAACCCAATTCCAAGTAAGTATTGAAAATTGAGAGTACCATGCCATGGTTAACAATGAAATTTCTTATATTTTGAACACTACTCACCAAATCAATAATCCATTTACAATGAGTATATTGAGGTGAGGTTTCAGATAGTTCACAAATGCTTTTTAGTGCCAAATTTAGGCAATGCACAACACATGGAGTCCAAAAGATGTGAGGATATGTACTCTCAATTATACCCCCAGCAGCCTTAAAGTTACTCCCATTATCAGTAATGATCTAAACAACATTGTGTTCTCCCACATCTTTGATCACTGGTATAAACAAATTTGTTACATACTCAGCTTCTTTTATGTTGCCACTTGCATCAACTGCCTTCAAGAACATAGCACCACCTACTGATATAGCCGTTACATTTATTAGTGGCCTCCTTTGTCTATCGGACCACCCATCTAAACAAAGGGACATGCCTTTCTTTTTCCAGCTATCTTTTATCGATTGGAGCTTTCGATTAATATGTGCCTTCTCTTGGGCCAGCAATGTTGTTCGTAATCTGTTGAATGTTGGAGGTGTATAGCCAGATAACTTGCTATTGGCTAATGTGAGTGAATATTTTCTGAAGTGAGGGCACCTTGCGAAGTTGAAGGATAAGGCAGATGCGTAGAACATGCTAGCAGCCTGTTTATCTGCTTCATCTCTTTGTGCTACATTAAATGAATTTTCTAGACCTCCTGGAGCTAATCCCTTTCTTTTTTTTTGCATTGCAATAAATCTGATCCTTCAGGCAATGATAAATACTCTTCCTTCTTTCTCACATTCAATTCCTGTTGTGCCCTTTTGCTTTCAGATTGCACATGTTCCTTCTTTAGTGCTTCAAATACATCATTGCTTATAGACTTGCAAGCTTCAACCCCTTGATTAGGAATCTTCAATAAATGACCCTTGACTTTTGAATATGATCCTATAACCTTTTTGTTGCAATAATTGCAACACCAATTTTTATTTCCACCTCCACGTGTTGGTAGGCTAAGAACTTTCACATGATTCCATAGTGGTTTGTCATCAAATTCAGTTCTTTGAGCTTTTGATGGTCTTAGGTTTACCTTCCCTTTCCTTTTGGCAGACATCTAGAAAATAAAGAATGTATACAAAGTAATAAAAAAAATAAACAAAGTACACATAAGCAATAAATATAATTCTACACACTAAATGTAATTTTTAATTTGTTAGTATATTACTGATGCATTAAGGGAGCAACAACTTAGCAGCACCAACAAGAGAATGAGAAAATACGAAATACTTCAGATGTATGTTAACAACTTAGCAGCACCAACTTGGCAGTCCGGCCATTACTTTGAAACTTAAAATCAAAAAATACTTGAGGAATAAAAACCAGCCAATAGATTTGAGTATATACCTGTTCTTGTTCCCTATTTGTAGATGAGATTTTTGTTGAAGCTCAAAGTTTGAGGAATAAAAACCAGCCAATTGATTTGAGTATAAACGTGTTTTTGTTCCCTATTTGAAGATGAGATTATTGTTGAAATCAAAAAATACTTAGAGGAATAAAAAACCAACCATTTGATTTGAGTATATACCTGTTCTTCTTCCGTTTTGCAGATGAGATTATTGTTGTTGAAGCTCAATGTTTATCTGACTTTCAGCAAATGAGAGAGATGTGGTGTCCGAGAAATAAGAGTTTGGTAGAGTATAATGAGTCTAACACTCCATCGTCTCCAATCTCCATGCACTCCACCAAACCCACGGGCCACAGCCACATATACATTGGATTTCAACTTTTCAAACCCTTGTCTTGTATGCATTAAATGCAAAAGAAACTCCCGCCTCCAATATGGTATTTTTTGCAATATATAAAACCTTGTCAGTTGTACACTTGTACATAACTTGTATCATTGTATGCAAAAAAATCTTCTCAGCCTCCAATTTGATGATATGACTACCGAAGGTTGTAATTAGTTGCTATGGAACTACTAGTTCGTATTGAATTACTAGTTCTTATGAGAATGACTACATTCATGTAATTAACAACTTAAATTATAATTAATTAGTAATTAAATTAAGCCTTATTTAATTACATAGTTATATAGGATCGATCATTATATATATATATATATATATATATATATATAATGATCACTATACTAATAGTATAACCTCCTTAATTCAATGTGTTTCATTATATAGATATAAATCATATAATTACATGTGTTAAATTATATAATTATATAGAATCACTATACTAGTATATATAGCCTCCATAATTCAATGCGTTTAATTATATAGTTATATATAGATCACTATATTAGTGTGAGATTTTTAATTACACGTGTTAAATTATATAGTTATATAGGAAATAGGATCACTATATTAGTGTAGCCTTCTTAATTTCATGTATTTAATTATAGAAAAATGATATTTCAATCGAAGTATTTGACCGATTACTCTCTCATATGTCATTTCAACCAGCTAAGCCATTTTCATCTCTCTCTCTCTCATCTCTTCTCTCTCCTTTCTTTCTTTTTCTCATTCTATTTCTCTCTCTAATATCTCTTTGAAATTTTTTTAAAGACTGTGAATGAACAATATAATCAAATAAATAAATACACATATTTACCTTAAAAAAAAAAATTACACATATGATACAATATATATAAATATATAAGAATATGATATATGATATGAAATTGCAACCATACTTTAAAAATCAAAAGGTAAGAAATATTGTTTGAAGAGACGAAACAAAGAGGGAGAGATTTGATAACTATCAGATACTTAGCTTAGAATGACAGCCTGGGAAAGATGAATTTGTGGATGCATATATTGTTTCCCCTTTTATTTTCTTTCCTTTTTTTAATTGTTAAAGTTGCTTACCTGGATTGCCATGTATATTCTGCCAAAATTATCGGTCCATCTATCACTATCCTTAATTATATAGTCATGTAGGATTACTATACTATTATAACCTCCTTAATTTTTTTATTTTTTTCCCAAAGCTTCCTTAATTCAATGTGTTTAATTAGGACAAATATAATTCAATGTGTTTAATTAGGACAAATATAATTCAATGTGAATTATATAGTTAAATACTTAAATATAAGCTTTTTTTTAGTTAAATACTTAATTTTATTCTAATATTTTTGTAAACAAAATAAATAATTTAATGTGTAATTATTTATATAATTATTTTACTAATAAATGGGTATGTGAGATTTAAATAGAAAAGAAACTTAAGTAATATAAATTTAAATTTTTTTGTAGGATATTTATACCCTTAAACATGATTAATGAGTAATAAGAAAATTATATAATTTTCTTAGCAATAAGTGAGTGGGTAAGATACGAGCTTTAAATATGGGATAAAAAGTTAATTAATTTAAATATAATGTATATAATATTTTTTAGAATATTTATAAACCTCAAACATGATTAGTAATTAATGTGAAATTAGTTTACTTTCAATATTTTTTATATGAAAGTTATATAAAAAATGCATGAGTATTTATTTACCCTTTTTAATGGATTTATGAGATTTAATTATGGGAAAAACCTTTTATTATTTTAGACAACATTATTTTTAGATTTCCTATATTAGTCATCCATTTTGAAAAGTCAAAGCAAATAAGTCTGATCTTTTAATTATTGTCCTTTATATCTAAAATCTTCATTTACTAAAATTATTTCTTATTTCCTTTCCCCCCCCCCCCCCCCCCTTCTTTTACTCTTCAAATCCCTATAATTTCCTTTTTTCTTCAAAAAAAAAAAAGGGCTACATTCCTATTTCCCTTTCGTCAATTAAATCATAATTTGTTCTTTTAATTATTGTCCTTTATATCTAAAATCTTCATTTACTAAAATTATTTCTTATTTCCTTTTTTTTTTCCTATTCTTTTACTCTTCAAATTCCTATAATTTCCTTTTTTCTTAAAAAAAAAAAAAAAAAAAGGTTACATTCCTATTTCCCTTTGGTCAATTAAATCATAATTTGATCTTTTAATTATTGTCCTTTATATCTAAAATCTTCATTTACTAAAATTATTTCTTATTTCCTTTTTTTTTTTTTTCCCCTTCTTTTACTCTTCAAATTCCTATAATTTCCTTTTTTCTTAAAAAAAAAGTTACATTCCTATTTCCCTTTCGTCAATTAAATCATAATTTGATCTTTTACTTATGGTCCTTTGTATCTAAAATCTTCATTTACTAAAATTATTTCTTATTTCCTTTTTTTTTTTTTTCCTTCTTTTACTCTTCAAATTCCTATAATTTCCTTTTTTCTTAAAAAAAAAAGTTACATTCCTATTTCCCTTTAGTCAATTAAATCATAATTTTTTTCTCTTCAAAGTTTTATTTTTATTTTTTTTTTATTTTTTATTTTTATTTACATTCATTGTTGTAATTTTATGAACTCAATAATTTCAAAATCAAACTAAATTAATCATGGATTCAAATTGGAATCAATGGAACTCAAATTTCTCATAGTTTATTTTACTACTCCATGTTTAATAAGAATGATTCCGGTCGGAATCCACAGATTCCGGTGAGAAGTTAGAATTAAAATATTGAGTCCGGCCGAATCCAATGAATCCCTCTTACAATGCTCCCTGGGCGATGGTGATCTCACAGTGTTTCTTGCACGACTGGCCGGCAATATGAACTCTGAAAAAAACATAAAGGGAAAAACAAAAAATAAAATAAAACTGGGGAAAAGATTTTTCATGAGTACAAAATTACATAATTGTATTAACTTACAAATATAAGAAGAGTAATAAATTAGGTCATTCTTGTCAAAAAAAAAAAAAAAAAATCGAAAAAAAAGAATACCATAGATATGTATACACACAATCACACACAAGAGGAAGAAAGAACAAAAATCCTATAACTGAATCCTACCCAATCTTTTCTAATTTTTCCATCATAAATTATAAGGTCAAAAATGTAAAATTACACCTGTTTTTTTTATGTCGGTCCACGTGTACATGGTCAACATGTACATGGTTAGTGGGTTACAACTGGTAACCCACTAAATAATTATATATATATAGATATTTATAATACAATCATATATATATATATACTACCATATATATATATACACACACTCTATTATGTTTCTCGACAATGACAGGCTCGCGTGAGTGGTGTCAAGTGACGCTCCAAATAGGGTAGGTTTCTATGCAAAACCAACGCGTGAAGAACCCTCATCTTCTCCAAAACCTCTTCCTGAAAACGCGATGAAACCAGAAATTTTCGACCATAATTTCCGACCACTGAAACAAGGGTTTTCTTCAATGGCCATGTCCGATCTTGACCGTACAAGATCGGACCCCGAGTCCATGTTGGTGTCGTGTCGTGTCGACACGGACACCCTCGCCGGAAACGACGAGTCTAGGTAACACAAGCTACAATTGGCAAAACTTTTGGCAAAGTTAAAAATTGGCAGCCCTTTTAGCATTGCATTGGAGAGCCATTTTGAAGTCTCCTTACTATATTTTAGAAATAACAGGCCTTTTAGCTTTGGATTGGAGATGCTCTAAGATTTACAAACTCGGACCGCAACGGTGTTGACGTACAAAATCAGAAAAGGGGCCCATTGGGGATTTGGCTTTAGGCCTGAGTTTTTCAGGGAGACAGGTAAGCATATGTCAAAAAATTGACTGTTTTAGAATGTTAAATGTTCCATTGTTTGAGCAAATTGATATATGATCTATATAATTGTTGTTCCTTTTTTTGTTTAAATTATTGTTATGATGTATGTGTCCTTTGAACCACGTACAGGTACTATCTGTATCTGTTGCATCAATATTGAAATTTATTGAGGATTTTGTACAATTTTATTCCATCATTATGTGTGCCGGCAGATTTTGCTATTGAGGTCTCCTTTCACTAGTATTACCTATTTACCTCCCCAGTCTTGTTCCATTAGAAGCCATTTGCTTAACCAATTTTTAGGTTGAATTCATATTAGCTTTCCCCTGCTACTTTGTTTCATTTTTTGGTAATATTTGAGTGCTTAGAGGAATTCATGAAATTTGTTGTATGTAGTAGTCATATTTTTTTTATGCCATTTCTTCCTTTTACCTATTCTAGGAAACAATAATTGATCTATGGTTCTGCATTGCCAGTGAGGCTGTCATAGACCATGACTAGTGATCACTTCATGCAGTATTGAAAATTTAATGGAAGAGCTTGAGAAGGAACTGAGCCTGGGAGAATGCCTTGTGAGTGGAAATGTTTCCAAGTTTTACTTCAATCTCTATACAGCTTTTACAGTTTTCATATTTGTTTATAGATTGAGATCAGGAGACTGAATATTATTTTGGAATATTTTATTGAGAGTGTTGGTATTTACTTTTTAATTTGATATTAAAAAATAAGAAAAACAAAACACAGTCAAATGAGGAAACCAACTTGTTACATTTTTTGTTTTTTTAGTTGACTGACTATTCTTTTCTTTTTCCCACACCTTCCTCTCACTTTCTTCAAGTTCTCTCCAATCTTTGCCCCTTGACCAAGAAGAGAAGGCCATAGGTGATAACTACAGATCCATTAGCAGTTCTCTGAGTTCTAATAATTTGATGAATTGGAACTTATAGTTGAAGCTTGTCCTATAATGGGGACTCCAGAAAATGTTGAGGTTGCATATGAATCGGCTGTGAAAATAATTTTGCAATGGGATGCAAGTGCAGCGAGAGGAAAAATGATCTTTGACAGAGGAGATAGCGAAGAGATAAATCAGTACCTTCATGCCGTTGATGAGATCCACCGCTGGATGGAACTGACCACCGTGTCCGATGATGACAAGAGCAAGGCCAACAGTGTGATGGAGATAGCCATGGCTCAGCTCGAACAGCAGTTCGTCAACATGTTGATTGAGATATGCCATAGTAGTCCAATGTGTTCAATTTGTTCTAGTTCAGTAACTGATAGCATTAGCTATGAATTACTTGAAGAGGATTATTTAGACTACGATATTCCGCTTTCTGAGAAAGAAATCAGTGATCTCCGGAGTTTTGCCGGAAGAATGAAATCTGTTCAGCGCGTTAATGTTTACACTAGAGTAAGGAAGGGTATACTGGACGTACGTTTTCGACGTCTAGGCGTTAAAAAATTAAGCTTTGAAGACGTCCGGAGGATAGAGTGGGACTTGTTGGGGGTGAAGATCAGACAGTGGATACGTGCAGCGAGGGTTTGTGTACGAGTTCTCTTTCCGAAAGAGAAACAACTCACTGAACAAATCTTTGGAGCTCATGGAACTGAATTATGTTTTATAGAAACAGTTAACGATGTGGCAATTCAGGTATTTGACTTTGTGGAAGCCATAAGTACTAGTCGTCCTTCGCCGGAGAAGCTGTTCAAATTCTTAGACCTCCACGAGGCCTTGTCGGAGCTTTTGCCAGATGTGAACACTCTCTTTCAGTTTAAAACAGGGGAACCTATTCGAATCCGAGCTTTTGAGATACTTTCTCAGCTCGCGGAGGCAATTAGAGGGATTCTTGCGCAATTGGAGAATGCAGTGTGTCATGAGCTATCAACATTCTTGGATCCGAGTGGGGATATTCACAGCTTGACTAAGTATGTGATGAGATATACCATTCAGATCTCTGATTACAAGGAGTCGTTAACTTCATTAATTGTATCCAAACCATCAACAAATTTGAGAGATTATGATGATCAGATGATTCCTGATATGGACTTCACGGCATTTGAAGGGCGAAGTACTCCATTGGAGCTCCATTTAATTTGGATCATTGAGATTCTAGTTTGCAAATTGGAATTCAAGTCCAAACTCTACGAAGATGACACCTTGGGTCATTTGTTCATGATGAACAATGTTCATTACATTGTTCAGAGCATCAAAGACTGTCCGGAACTGCGGATGATGATTGGCGATGATTACGCAACGAAATTAATCGGAAAGGTCCAACAGACACAGAGTAGCTACAGTAGTGCTACCTGGTCGGAGATTTTGTCATGTTTGAGATATGAGGGATTAGGTACCGGTAGGAGCTTCTCTTCTGGGGTGTCTAGCACTAGAAGCTTTTTCAGAGAAAAGTTCAAGACCTTCAATGCCATCTTTGAGGAGGTTCACAGGACTCAAGCAACGTGGTTGATACCGGATAAGCAGCTTCGGGAAGAGCTTCGTATGTCGATATCGGAAGAGTTGATCCCAGCCTATAGGTCATTTCTTCTTCTTTTCAGGAGCCATGTAGTGAGTGAAAAGCACTCTGAAACCTACATCAATTACTCGGCTGAGGACCTTGAGAGTGCGCTCTTGGAATTTTTCGGCTCCAAGGAAGAAAATTTGAAGTTGTGGTTTAACATTGCCTCAAATTCAGTAAGTTGTTCATTATCATCCTTGCCTTAATTCTATATAAGTAGGTAGGGTTATAAATTTTTTCTGCTGTATTTAACCTTTCAAAATCATTTTTAATAATCTTATCTCATGTTGTTTTTGGTTTCCTTCTCTCTCTTTTTTAGATGACAATTAATATTACACTTGTTTAATTGGCACATTATTAGGTGTCTAATGTATGTGTCCAAACCATCTAAGTCTACTCCTATCATTCTTAATTTTTCCCTCACCTTGATTGTAACCCTAACTCTTCTAGTCAAACCAGTCATTCATTTTCATATTCCACATAAGCGTCAAATTCACTAAATTCGGAAACAAAAAATCAATTTTGAAAATAAAAATAAAAATGAGAAGTCTAATCTTATCTGCAAAACAAAGAACTAGCATGATTCATCCATCTATCATATGACATACATTATTTTATGGCTTTAGTTAGAACATTACTTGTTCTCCATTTTAGTTGTTATTTTATTATTATTGTTTTTTTTATTTATTGGAGTATACTCCTAGGTTGTTTAAACAAAAAATTACTACAAAGTCCTAATGTTTCTTCTAAAAAGACAAATAAGTTCTTAAATTTTTTATACGACCAATATCTCTTACATTTGATATCATTTTCTTCTAAACCACTCAATTTTTCACTTATACCCTTACTAAATAGAAATAAAGTTTTGCAATCATAGGTTCTATTCTAAAATTGATGTGTAATAACTTTTTTTTCTGCTTCTCCTCTTTTATTTTTTTATTTTTAATTTTCCTTTTTTTACATGTTTTGTTATTTCTATATGTTATTTTATGTTTTAATTGATTAATAAATATTATATTATCAATTAAAATTATAATAAATTAAATTATAGTTGAATTCCAAAAACTTTTGTAGAATTTATGAAAATCATTTATAATATTCAAAAATTAAAAATTAATAAGATATTATAATTTCTTTTTATTGAGTTTGATAAAATTTTATCCTTTTAAGAATTATACTAATTATTTTGAAAATAAAAACATAAAAGTAATAGAAAATTTGTAGAAATGTTTAAATAGTCAAATAGAAAATTTTGGCTTCCATATCATTTTTTGGATAGAAATTATAATTTCAAAATTTCAGATCTATTGTGGTAAAGGTATGAGTGCAAAGTTGAGTGGTATATAACTTAAATGGAAAACAATTTTAAAAATAGAACTTATAGGACTTATTTGTCATTTAAAAGAAAAAGCAGGACACAGTGGTAATTTTTTCTTGTTTAAATCCTTGCTGGACCTTCAACTCTACATGTTTTCTTTTATTTTTAACTTAGTTATCACTTCAATATTTCTTGAAACCTAAATTATTGAGCTTGATCTCCTGCTTTTACATTTATTATTTCCTTGGATTTCAGGGAAGTGTCCCCAAGACTAAGCACAAGTATAAGCTAGCAAACAAGAAGAATGTCAAGAAATGGTTCATTTGTAGTGGGTGCATTTCAATGCGCGGCCGGCTGAACTTGTTCGGGGGACTGCGGATTGGGTCAAGTATGTGTGGAACCAGTTTGGATGGGACGAATTATTAACCCAGATGTGGCAGGTTGAACATGCAACGGGTCGCAACGGGTCGGATCACCGTGTGCCCGAACCATTAACTCTACTTCTTCTTTTCCTTTTTTGTTTGTCCTTTTTCTTTTTCTTTGGGAAAGCTTTAGGTTTAGGGTAAATACTAATACCATCTTTATATCCTAGAAAGTGTAATAAAATTTACCATAAAATATTTCTGCATCCCGATTTGCAGTGTAAATTTAAATTTCATGTGCTTTTTTTATTTGTGCGTCCTAGACAATCTTGTATGATGGTTCTATGAATGATGATAGTGTTAGCTTTGAAGTCGTTGAAGATGATTATTTAGACTACCAGATATATATATATATATATATATATATATATATACCAAATTCTGAAATATCTGATCTTTTTAAAAATAAAAAATGAAAAAAAATTATTTAACAATTGCAAATTAAACTTGCAAGTAAATTATTGGACTTAGGCTAGACCTAGCCCCAGATTGGATGCTATTGGATGGTCAACGTCAAATGTCTGGCAAAAATCTTTGGAACCCGGCCCTATGCAAGAAAAGCCCAGTCCAACTAGACTAATCAACACCCTCAAAAATATCTCCGTCAATCCACAAGCCCAAGCGTTGACCTCGACTGCTTGATCATGCCTTATAGGTTTACATGCTCCGACTGACAGCAACGGTGTTGATGTACACAATCAGGCAAGTGGAGTGGTCCTTTGGGAGTTTGGCATTTGGCATCATTTTTTTATTTTTCCAGAGAAGCAGGTAAAGCATATGTTAATATGGTTTTAATCTTTTTACTGAGAGATAATATCTTTGCTCTCCATATTCTACTCTCAGCTACATGAATGAACTACCCATAGCTCGGTGGAAATTATTAAATCCAATCCAGCAAAATTTTCTTCGAGTATAAAAACATTCTCAGTTTTGATGTCACATGTCATATGATATGTACCATGTAGTACAATAACACAGCTTACGAAAAAATTGGCTGTTTCTGAATTTTTAAATGTTCCATTGATTGATCGAATTGATGTATTACCTCTGTGTCTATATATATATATGGCGTTTTTGTCCACTGAATACCATGTGCTATCTATATGTGCTGTGATTGTGACCAATTGAATCTATTAATAGCTAAACCAGCATGCTCTACTTCATTGTTTGGATGCACTCATAGTCCAGACTCCTAATGTGCATACTATTTGCCATGACTATCAAGCTCTATTAATTTAATTACTTATCTGCTACATTGATATTGAATTTTATCCAGGATTTTGTTCATTATTACCCATTCAATAAAATAAGAGAACTGATATGCTAACCAAAATAACCCAAGAAAAAGTATTATCCATTTGTAGATGGAGCTTCAATAGCAGCTAGGTCTAGAAGGAAGTTACGAGCATTACGTTCATGCATAACTTCCATACCAAGGTTAGCACGGTTAATGATATCAATCCAAGTATTAATTACACGGCCTTGACTATCAACTACAGATTGATTGAAATTGAAAGCATTTATGTTGAAAGCCATAGTGCTGATCGCTAAAGCAGTAAACCGGATACCTACTACAGGCCAAGCAATGGGAAACCAAACGTTTGCCAGTCATTGGATGGTTTCGATCCCACATCAACCATCCAGTGGATGGGAGCGTTCGGTTTCTCTTTTGGATGGATTATTTTGATTAGTTAAACATTATTCAGAAGATAATTATGACTCCATCTCCTTCAAAATATATGCTAGTGGATCTTGCCACAGACGTCTCTTTTCGCTAGTGTTAGCTCCCCGGTGTTGTTCCATTAGAAACCTTTTGCTTAACAAAATTCTAGGTTGAATTCATATTAGTTTTCTCTATTACTGCATTTCCTATTCTGGTATTATTTCAGTGCTAAAAAGAATTTATATGTTATTGTCACCGTCGTCATTTTTATGCCATTTCTTCCTACTACCTATTCTAAGAAATAATAATCGATTTATTAGAGATGACTGTTAGACATCACATGTTAACAATAACTATTAGTGTAACGATCCTAAACTGAATACCAAAAATAATAAAAAAATTTAAAAAAAATTTCGGCATGACCTCCGCTAAAAATGGTCCTACAACAACCTGTTCATATGAAGAAAAAAAAAACAACGGCTTTTCAAGACCTATCCAATCTGTCCCAACACACAAAAGAAATATAATGCATTCCCTAATACCACAACATAAAAGAAATATAATGCATTCCCTAATACCACAACATCAACAACCATCTCCAAATTAACCCATCATCGTCATCCCCTTCAACTTACGCATTTACATGGTCTCAGTTTACAACAAAAATAAATCAAGTATCTTAGTTATGTTACAGGGCCATGATTTGCAAAAATAAACTCTTTTACATAGTTTGAGACAATACAAAAAAATGGGTTAAGATACAAAAGATAACAAAATACAACTCCTAATCTTCTTCAAGTTTGCAGGGGATTGTCATCTACCTGAGCAAAATTACTCAGTAGGTAGCGCCTAAGGCACACCTCTTGAGACCTCGTGAATCCACTCAATGAAAAGGAATAAGGAAATTGGGATCATACCATGCCAAGAGTAAAAGTATAACTACAATACGACATCATTAATTCAACACCACAAATAAATATGCCATGCACTGAAATGTCGTGCCATGCAATGTCACTCCCCATTTTCCCAAAACCATTTCCATTATCATATCCAAACCGTTAGTGAACCCATCCCATGGCAACTCTATGGCCGCACGAGAGAAGGATTGGTCACTGTCTCTGACCCATGGTAACTCCATGGCGTCATTTGGGGTCCAGGTAACTCAACCACACTAGGGCGGTCTCCCTAGTCCCCTCTAGGCCTCACTAACGCCGCGGTCTCTAGGCAACTCCTAGGCGGCCGGGTTTTTTTTACAAAATTCTTTTCAAAATTCTTTCCCAAAAATATATATGTATATATTTTTATTTATTTTTATTTATTATTTTTTTGTCAAATTCATGTTTCCATCTCTTTCCCAATGAAATACATAGATGTTTCATGCCTTTTTGGTCATAGCAACATTTATCATCACATGCCAATTTTAAGATTTGATTATTTAGCATGCTTCACAAGTAGTTTCAAAAAAAATAACATACTTCCTTTAACAAAATTCTAGCATGGTAATTAAACAAGTAAGACATGGAATTAAATTCATATAAGCATATATTTCATGTAACACCAATTAAAACATATAGACACATATCTCATTACAACAATATGATCATTTTAAGGAAAAACTAACACAATCTAACATGCTTGACAACAAATCAAATAAGATGATTCACAAAGGAGCAAGAAAAAGTAAATTAGGAACCCCTACCTCAATTATATGCAAAAAGCCCCATTTTTCACCTCAAACCCTCAAAATGGTTCTCAATTTTCAGACTTCCTAGAGTGGCCAAAAGCTGAAATTGTTGGCATGGATTTGAAGATCTCGTCGTGGGCTTCAATTTGCCGTAAACGGCATCCAAAATCACTAAGTATTGAAGATTAATCAAAGCTTTTGTGAAAGGAAAACAAAAAGAAAAAGAAGAAAGCCGAGAGAGAGAGAGAGAGAGCAGTCGCGAGAGAAAATGCTGATTGAACAAATGGGTCTGTAAATGACCCTTGGTCACTTATGATAAGGGTGGCCCACTAACTTTTCCATTTATTATATATATATATATATATATATATAATAATAATAATAATAATATTAAAGCATAACATTACAATTAGATTGTTAGAACACTCTTCAGGTCTATTATGCACCATGTCTTGAATTTGTTTCCTTTTTGTTGTATTAATTTATGATGCATATCTGTTCTCTAACTTTGTTACAATGATGCCCTTTCTTGTGTTAGGTGTATTTCTTTTCTGCACTAAATTTATCTTTTGCTATTCTGCTGACATTATGATATCGGATGCAGCTTGTCTGTATAAAAGACATAAGAATTGGCAGATTCAGGCAATGAACTCATTTCTTTGTTGTAAATGGAGCTGAGTTAGTTCCTACATTCTTGGCGGCTTCAGTTGATAACTTGTGTGTTGATTTCTATATCTCTGCTTCAGACATAAGAAATGTTCAAGCAGCTAATTGAGTTACATTTACTCCACTTTTAGTGTCTATTATACGCTATGTCTTGAAGTTGTTTCCTTTTGTTGTTGTGATGTCTCTTTGTTCTCTAACTTTGTTACAATAATGTCCATTTTTGTGTTAGGTGTATTACTTGTTTATTGGGTGCAATAAATTTATTTGCTCGCTCAGCATTGCTATTCTGCTGATTTATGACATCTGATGCAGTTGCTTGTATATAGGACATGGGAACAACTTGTGTGTTGATTTCTGTATCTCTGACTCTGTTATTTTAAATTTCTTGTGCTTTTATTTCTGCTTGAGAATGTTGTGTAAATTTCCTGGACAATAGAGTTAGTTTGAATGGGATAGTTTTTTTTTTTTTTTTTTGCAGTGAGGGCATAGGACCAAAATATACGTTGAACTGGAGTAATATTTGTGCTTTGCCTAATGCTTTTTAATCAAATATCATCAATCTTTTCTTACATTCTCTCTTTGCTGTTAGTTTTAGTTTTAGTTGTACTTATACCTCTACTTTTCACTTCAATTTTATCGATATAATGAAGCATTAAACTACATTATCCTTCAACCAAACCATACAAGAAAAAGCTTCATTTTTGTCTTGCCTTAAATTTATTCCATTCTTCTATCTTTCCTCGACAAACTGGTTAATTATATTTGGGAACAGAACATTTGCTTGTGTATTTGATAATAAAAAGGTCACAATCAAACAAGGAAAACAACTTCGTTCCTTTTTATTTACCAAAATAAAAAATTAAAAAACATGTTCCCTTTTTATTAGATACTGACAAAATCTCTTGTTCACTATTCATTTTCTTCACTCTTGTAATACCCTTAATTTTAAAAAGATAGTTTCGGTATTTATTTTTTTATTTTTTATTTTTTTTAATTGTTTAATTGATTATTTGACTAATTGTTTATGTGTTTAATTGAATTAAGTGTTACTTGATTAATTGGCTACTTATCTATGTGTTATTTGTATTTTGTTTAGGTGTTATTTGTATTATTTGTTTAATTAGATTGTGTGCTTAAATGATGTATTTGATTAATTGTAAATTAAATTATTAAATATTTTATTTTATTTTATTTTATGGTTATGGTTAGTGATAATTGGCTAACTAATTGGGTCCCATGAACTACTTGGATAGAAGATTGGATGGGTATGGATAATTACCCATAGATAGTTATATATGTATATATATAGATATATATGTATATACATATATATAAAAAGGAAAGTAATTTATTAATATTATAGTAACTTTAGTATTAATAAATAATCTGATGTATATATTTTATATATTTATATAATAAGGATATACATATATTTTATACGTAACATGTTTTAAGTTACCTTTTTAATATTATGGTAACTTTAGCATAAATAAATAATCTGATGTATATATTTTATTTATTTAATGAGCATACAGATAGATTATATACGTAACATGTTTTAAGTTACTTTTTAATATTATGGTAACTTTAGTATAAATAAATAATCTGATGTATATATTTTATTTATTTAATGAGGATATAGATAGATTATA